ATTTCACCAAAAACATAATATCAGAAACGAAATTCGATGCCGCAATGATTATAACAAAAGCAATAAGTGTGCTTATAACCCAAAATTATTGTTAAAGAAAAGTTAATGGGGTTAGATGAACAACATTGAAGACAGCAAGCAAGCATATTCCCACCTGAAAAACAACCTACAATTTCTGAAAGACAAAAATAAAAGATGGTCAATAGTTGGTTGATTGGGATAACATGAAGACTAGTGAGAGAACATGATAATGTGAATTGAATGAAAAGAAATTGAATACATTTTACATTTTTCTAACACAAACTTTATGTGGTTCCTTTAGTGAGTAGTGGGCTTATGCTCTATCACATGTATGTAAGTATGAAAGTGAGATAATTAAGCCTCAGAGCCATAGAATTACGGAATGTGAGTTGAAGACAGAGAAACCATAATGGGTGAATATAATTAATGAAAAAATAAAAAAATCCTGATATTAGATCAAATCTTGCTCTTTCATGGACCAATCCCCTTGCTAATTTTTTTTCTAAAATATAATAGGGAAAAAAATAAAATTATGAATTTTTAAGATTTGAGAGTACATTTAAAAAATTAGAATCATATCATATGGTAGGGAGGAGAAGCATTGAAAGTGTATGCCCAATTTTAAACACATACAGCCCGTTTATTTTTGACAACATTTTGGGCCAAAGCTTGGCCCAGTTGTTGAAAGTATACTCAAGTTTATTTTTATCGAAATTTTATAAATGGCATGATGATGTATTCCCTTAAGTCACATACATTAAGAAAATCTCAATAAAATCAGGCTGTAGTTGTGGCGGCCTATGCCAACATCCTCGTTGATGCTATACATAATATAGCACGTGCTACTGCTTCTAATTTTCATAATTGGCTCATTTGACATAATACAGAAAAGTTGAAAAAAATCATAGCCCACATTTTAATAAGAAAGTTTATACAGTAAATACAAAATGAACAAAATATAATTATTACAGGCATGATTAAAGACAAATACCATATCAAAAAATAAAACTATAAATTTTTCAATTTGAATATATGATGTCAAAGTATTGATAAGAGATTTTGGACGTTGCATGAAATTTTCTAACGCGAAAACTAGTATATATTTATATATTAATTAACTAGATCACTACAAAGTCAAATGCCAATCTGAATACATCTCTGCCGCTCTACCCAGTCTTAGTGGCAACAAAAATAAACAAAGATCTTTCCAAAATAATTAATTTGAGTTGCAATATTGACTTTATGAGACATTCACATATCTTATGTATAATTATTAACTTATTATTAAAAAAAAATTGTCTCCTGTATGATGTAAGGCGGCTTGAAATGCATCATGTCTTATGTATGTATGTATGGATCTGAAAAAAGAAAGGCTTCACACATGCATGCATGCAACCCAATTCCAAATGGCATTCTTATACTTATACATTAACTTTGGATACATTGGTGACTTTGAAATTAATTTTTTTTTTTTTATCATTAGGGATTTTTGAGTCAATTTATACGTATCTTAACTAATCTCTCGAACCTTAGAATTATTAGCTGAATAAAATGCTCAATGACTGCCATTATTAATGCCTAAGAGAACTCAAATTCAATAATTCATAAAAATCATAAATGCTATATAATATTTAGAGAAAATATGTTAAAAGAAGAAAGGATTTTGAGCAACCAAAAAGTATATATACCCTACAATAATATGTTAAAAGAAATAAATAAAAACACTATCCTATCGTCATTCAAAATAATGAAGATGTTAGATAATGCTATTTTATGTTTCATAATGTAAAATGAAATGGGACAAAAATGTGAGTTAACCCACCATGCATTTATAGTTAAACACAATAATCGCAACCGTCCCATTTTTTTCGTTTTCTAAAAGGTTGATGACTCAATCCCCGGCGGCCCGTTTTGTGGTACTGTATATCCCAACGTATTTCCTAGTCATCCCACACAAGTCACGTTTTTATACTAATTAATTAATAAATCTCTCCTTGACTTGCACATATAAAGTGTTAAGGTGTTATTAAAAATTACACGTGAATGATTATTAGAGAATTAATCAATATAATTAAATACAAAGACTAAATAATAAATGAGAGAGGTGATTTTTAAAGTGGTTTGGATATTTAAAACGAATCCTACGTTCAGTGTTTCTTTTATTTATGAGAGATTACAAGAGGTCGCGTATAACGAACAACGAGTAGATGTACAATAACTGAGTATTCAGAGATAATATCAAGTCAGCCTCTTTCTCGTGGGTTATCTTTGCTTTGATAATAAAAATTACCATCAAAATGGGGGTTCAGTATCAAAATCCCGAAAATGAGAGGGGGAGTTATCTATTTTTGGTAGATGAATTCAAGGTAATGATTATAAATTTACAAGTGGGTAGGTGCCGTACAAGTCTTTCCTTGCTTCCTATTAGCTAATAACTCCTAGTTAGTAAATTCGCGTGTTATACGCGAATTATACGGCTAGGTGTATAATTCGCGTATAAAATACAAATTCCTGTATTCTATAAGCACAGCCGAATTATACGCGAATTATATACCCTAGCCATATAATTCGTGTATAATTCACTTATAATTCGGCCGTATTTTTGAAAATAAAATTTTGTTTTCTTATGAGCAAAAACGACGTCGTTTTAGGTGAAATTTGATCAAAACGACGTCGTTTTATGCGTAATCCCTTTCTACTAAAGCAGGTCAGTCTCTTTTGGCGCCCTCTTCCTTTCTTTATTTCTTTTTTTGTGCCCTCTTCCTCTCTCCTTCTCTTTTTTGGCATCTCTACCTCTCTGCCTCTTCAACAAACACCACTCTTCGTCTTATCTTCTTCTTCTTCAACTTAATAACAAATAAAATTGTTTGTTTTATTTAATAATTGGTCTATTTCTATAATATTTGTAATAATTGATTACGAATTAAATAATATAATTTTTTATAAACTAAAATATTATAATTAAAAAAGATATAAATCATACACATATAAGAAAATATAGAGAATGATTAATTCAATGATCATAAAAAGTACTAAAATTAGGATTAATATTGCCGTATTTTTCAAAACGTATTATTGACAATATATCGTATTAAACCCATATATACCCGTACTGTATTTTTTCCATATCCAAATTTTAAGGCCGAATTTTTATAAACATATTTTTCACCGTTTGCCGTATCATTCCCGTAAAATTCTCGTACTCTTTTTTTGCCGTACCCGTATTTACTAACTAGTAATAACTTAGGAAACATCCTCAAATTATCTGGGACTTGGACATGTATGCGGTCCTTAATCACTCGTAGACAAAACTTGAATCTGATAAGTTTATGACAATCATATTCTTTTTGTACTAGGATGACGTGGTAGCTCTTGGATAACGCAAAACCTTCTTGAACTCTGATTAATGCTTGCTGATGTAAGCTTACATCAGCCTTGATTTTTTTTAAGACATAACAATACTAATTAATTAATTAATAAATCTCTCTTTTATTTTATAAGAAGATTTTAAGCCTTTATTTTTAGTTGAATTGTAATACAAAAGAAAATGAAAGATAGGGGGGATCCACGTGCACTTGTCTGTCTTGTATATGCCCATAGATTAATATATATAGCTGAATTATTAGTTTCAGGTGGCTGCCATGGCCTGCAGCCGCCGCGCTGTCGACAGTTGTAGGGTTGCGGCATAATTTTTATATAATTTTGCATTTAAAGTTTAAAACATGTTATACCAAAAAAAAAAAAAAAAATCCCCAAAAATCAATTTTATTCATTTTTTTTAATCTAGTCAGAGATTGCAATACTTCATGCATATTTGCATCTATCCTTAGTTTGAATAAAAAGAAAAAAAAAGTGTATTAATAGAAGAATATATAATATAAAAGCTTACTTTACATTGTGTATGTATACACTACTTGCATACAAATTGAAAAAGGAAAAGTTCAAAACAAGCATATCCTTTTTCTTGTATAGAAAAGAAAATAATAATTCGGTAATTAATTAAATAAGTTTGAAACATATATAATATATGTTAAGAATTTTGGCCCGGCGGTTTTAATAATTGACCAGGCAGTGGATTCTACGATGAATTGAATCTAGATGTCTCAGCTACTTTTGACAAATCGATAACTGAAGAAATAAAGTCAGGTTAATTAACTAATATCCAAATTCATTATAAAATAAATTTGACCCATCTCCACTTGTTAATTGTCATACTAAAAAAAAAAAAAAAATCGTTTTATCAAGTACATATATTGACGCCGGCTAACCAATTTGAAGTAGAATTTTGTAATAAACTGGACAAGAAATAATAGTACAAAATTTGGTGTGAAATCCACGGGCCAGTTAGCTTTAACTGAAATAAAATAAAATTTTACGTGAAACTTTAAATAGCTATGTATTAATAAAGAAATTCCACTTGGCAGCTTAAGAAGAAGATGGTTGTGATGATGTATAGAGAGAAAAGTGGTCAGTTAGGAGTTTGAGATAGAAGGCAACAGGTAGTTTGTGATGACACCTGCTACTACTGTACACGACAAATGATTCATCAGTTTGTTAGTTAGTGTACTTCCAAATACTTGTATGTATATACCGTAGACTTTTATTTTATTTAATGTCTAATACAAGCAGATTGTCAAACAATATAAGAGTTTTTAATTTTGTTATTGAGGAAAATAAAGAATAATTTATTATTTGATAAAGTCAACTAATTTGGGCTTGCAGATTAAGCCAAATTACCTTCAATGATTCTAAACAATCTATAAATATAATGCATTAAAAATGTATAATAAAGTTTTTTATATGCAGCATTCAATTAAAATAGGGAATTCAATTTTTAGAAAGAAGGAAATTCCATTTTAGCCGTTGCAACGGCGAAGTCTAATAAAAAAATGCGAATACCACTCGCACCTAGCATTACAACATGTGTCAATGTCACACTGGGTTTTCTATTACCCATAAAGACACATAAAAACAGGCTATTTTAACCAGCAAAATCTATATGTATCATTGTTGGAATATGACAACACTGCTCTACTTGACACTTACCATTAGTGAAAACAAAACAAAAATAATCTAAAAATGGTTAGAGCCTTCTGATCTGTATCTAAAAACACAAATAATTAAACCGGTGAACTATGGTTGCTTGGCTCCTCCGATAAACCCAATGAATCCTTGTTGCCATCCTTCAATAATGTCTTTTCATCTTCTTCAATCCCATAATTATCATCAATAACTGCATTTGATCCAGTGAGCTCCTTTGCCCTCTGAGCCTCATGTTCCCAATCGGTTCGAGCCACAATGAATAACATGGTCACAACACATGAGCCCTGTGCTGCCAAGAGACCAAGCCAGAGTCCCTTGAAATCAAACTCGGAATAAAAACTTAACCAAACAGCAACCGGCATGCCCACAAGGTAGAAGCATCCCAAGTTGATGTTTGCACCCATTTTAGGCCTAGCAGTTCCTCTAAGAACACCACATCCTGTTGTTTGTGGACAGTTCCCAAGTTCACACAGTCCAATTATTGGTAAAACCATTGATGTCAAAGCGATAATCTCACTATCTTGTGTGAACATGCTCGCCCAAATGTTCCTCACCATAACAGCAAAAAGCAATGCTGAAAAGCCTGTAATGAAGCTCGATGAGAGGCCGATTACCGCGGCGAGTTTCGCCTTCTTCGGACAGTTGGCACCTAACTCATTTCCAACTCTTGTTGACACACCGAAGCTTAAAGAAGAAGGGAAAATGTATATCAAAGATGTTGTTTGAATCAAAATACCCATTGAAGCAACCGTTGCTCGTGGATTTAGTAACAACCCACATAGTAAAATCATGATCTCGTACCACCACCATTCTAAACAGACTGAAATGCAGCTTGGAATGGCTAAGTTCAATAAAGACTTCCAGCCTTTTAAGCACTCCAAAGAAATTCCTCCCCAAGTTTTCTTGTACACACCAGAAATCATAATGTAGACGATCAATGATACCACAAGATTGATGTCTGTCCAAACAGCACTTAAAGCAATGCCCTTGATTCCAAGATTGAGAACAGAAACTAGAAAATAGTTGATTGGAATGTGAAGAATAATGGCGAAAGTTGCACAAAATGTTAGAGGCAAAGTAATGGATTGAGTCCTAAGATATATACGCAAGGGGTGTAAAATGGATTGTGCAATGAGATTAGGAAGAGAAAAAAGAATATAAATTTGAGCTTCATTGGCGATATCTTCAGCTTGACCGCAAAAGAGAAGGGTATTTTTCATGTTGAACCATAAAAAAGAAATTGGGATTGAAATCAAGAGAAGTAAAAGAATAGTTCTTTGCATGGTGAGGCCAAGAAGTTTGTATCTTCTAGCACCAAAAGCTTGGCCACAAATGGGTTCCATTCCCATGGCAAGACCAGAAAGAATAGAATACCCGGTGATGTTAGCAAATCCAATGGCGAGGGAGCCACCGGCCAACGCCAACTCACCGAGGCTGCCAAGGAAGAGCATGGAAATCATAGAGCGAGAATAAAGTAAAAGACCTGTTAACATCATGGGAAGAGCTATGTTGGCTATGCATCTTGCTTCTTTGATTGCAAGAACGAGATGCGACTTGGTCTTTTGTTGATCAGATGTTTGATTCTGCGGGATCAAAGGAGAGGAAAGTAACTGACACTGGCTCATAGTTATGGACTTCTTATTTACAGAGAAAGAGGAATTATGGTATCTTGTAAGAGTGATATGATTTATACAGAGTGAGACTTTAACAAGAGGGGGGTTTTATTAAATAGTTGTTGTGACTGAGGTCGGCGTTGAGAAGAGTAGAACCAAAAAAAAAAAAAAACAAAAAAAAAAAAAAAAAAAAAAAAAAAAAAAAAAAAAAAAAGATATACTGTAATATTATATGGTTGACAGAATTAAGCTTCAAAGTTTTTCTAGCTAAAACTCTAGGCGACAATATTTCAAGCGGCCTTTTATGACCATGGGGTATCACTGTTGTGCCTGCAAGGAAAAAACCAGAGAAAGATATAGAGATGTATAGATAAGGAAAGTGAGTAATCTGGGGTCGTTCTTTCCTCTTTAAAATGGACCTAAAACAGCATAGAGTAATTACGACTTAAGAGACACGTATATTAACGTAAGTATCATCCTTATTTATTGGGAGACGGTATTTATTATGGTGATTTTAACATTGAATTTCATATATTATGGCATGTTTTTAAAAAGGTTTGAGTACAATACTTGGCTGTTTGCAACGGAGGACAAATTAATATAGGACGGTTATACGAGGACTTGACTTAGGTATATATTCTTAGATAATGATCCACAATATAAATATCCCATGTAAACGATAACATTAATCCATATAATAAATTTTTAATAAAACGCTTAACCCATGGCAGGATAACACCTACAAAAGTATGATAAGGTCCCCTAAAAAAAATTTGTCTTGGTGCAAGGTCGGCCCTATGATGGTGGAAGCATGAAAGACTTTGAATAAATAGTTAAAAAAAGAAAGAAAGAAAAGAGGATGGTCCCATATGTGTCCATGCCTTGGACGGTGGCTGCGGCAACTAGCTAGCCTTCGTGCACGACTCTTCTTTGTCCGTATCTTCGTCTTGGCCTTCGACTCTATTTCTGTATTGAGCTAAAATTCAAGAGTGGTGAGAGAAAGGAGGCAAGATGCGCACCAAGTAGAAGTTATATATAGGCAGTTTGTTGTATGCGATAGAGGGAAGTGAAGATTTCAAGATATAAAATTAAAGGATCATGTCCAAATTGGGGTTTGTAAAAGAGGGATTTGTTTTGTTTGTAGTATTTAGTTTTGGTTTAAACTGGGGGCGTGGGTACTGGTCAAGTCAATTTTGTTGGGAATCATTCATCTGCATGCCCTTTTTTCTATTGATTAAACAAACCCCAATTAATATAATTGAAGTGCACAGCACAAATACGAAAGATTTGTTTCTTAATTCTTCTCCTTTTCATATTTCCTCTTTCTCTTAGTAAAATTTGTTTGCCATATTTAATTATAAATTTAGAAAATTTGTACATTACAATCCAATATGACTTCACCTTGGTGTGAGAGTTTGTTGAAGCACGATTTTGACACCAACTAAAAGCACTCGTGAAATGTTGAGTTGGCCCCAAAAGACATACGTAAAAGGTTTTTAGAAAAATGAAAGTAAATGCAGTGAGAAAAGAGTTTTAAAGTGGTTCGGATGCTAAGGAAGTAAATCCTACGTCCACTGATATTTTTATTTATAATGATGGTCAGGTCGCTTTAGACGACTGACTTTACACTGATGATACAAGGTATCAAGGATTGTCTTTTCTAGAGAGAGATTTTTTTTTCAAGAGTAAAATGTGCGAATCCCTTTAATGAGAGAGGAACTCCCATTTTATAGTGGAATGTCTTGAGGCAATCATCACTGAATCTGCAAGTTGGTGAGATGATCCGTGCAAATCCTTTGTTTAGAGTAATTCACGTGATTTGCCGCAGGGGTTGGACACGCGGGATCACCACATCTCTTTGCTGGCCTGACGTGCACCCATTACTCTGACGGAAGGAAGCTGTGGGTGCCACCGTGATCACACGAAGCAGCTGCGTCAGGATGGCAGTAGGCTCTTCCCGAGGCCTGACCTTGCGTACTTACCAGGGCGACGTCAGCTCTAAGTTCCTAGGTATAACAGAAGTCCCCTAGTTTTTAAGGTTCGAGAACCAAACCTTGGAAACTACAAGTCATGCCGCAATTGGATGATTCCCAGAGATTCTGGAAATTTCGAAAATTCTGGAAACCCCAACCTGCTCCAGCCTTCTTTCTGTTCGATGATCTATAGATGTAGAGGGTCCACGTCGAGAGATTTTGAACAGTTTCCTGGATGACTTCGTTGGGCTGTTCCGACTCATTCGCAGGATGATGCGAGAACTTTGAGATGAAGTCGGCAACAGCTTGCCCTTTAATAGCTGCTCTTGGTTTGTAATGGAGATCGAACTGGCTGAGTTCCATGGCCTATTTGAGCAATTTTCCCGATGCCTCCGGTTTTTGGAGGACCAGCCTGAGTGGGTAATTAGTCAATACATGGACTGTATGGGCATGGAAGTAAGGTCGCAGCTTTAGGGATGCGATCAGCAGGGCATAGGCTAATCGCTCCATTTCTGGATACCGCATCTCGATATTCAACAGACGCTTGCTCGTATAATACACTGGCCATTGTGTTCCGCTCTCTTCCTGAACAAGAGCTGCACTGACTGTGAACTGCGAGATGAACAGGTACAAAAGGAGGATCTCTTGTAGGAGAGGTTTGGACAGGAGTGGTGGCTTCTCGAGGTGTTCCTTTATTCTCTGGAAGGCCTATTCGCACTCAAGAGTCCATTCGAACTTCTTATTGGCCCTGAGTACATTGAAAAATGGCAAGCAGCGATCTGTTAGTCTTAATATGAAGCGACTTAGCGCCGCTATATGCCCGTTTAGGCTCATAACCTGTTTTTTGCTGGTCGGGCTCTTCATATCGAGGAGAGCTTGGATTTTTTCGGGGTTGATCTCAATACCCCGCTGGTTAACCATGTACCCTAGGAACTTTCCTGAGGATACTCCGAATGAACATTTGAGGGGGTTCAACTTCATTCGGTACTACCGGAGGATGCCGAACATCTCAGCAAGATGCGCTATATGATCTGAGGCGGCGTGGGATTTTACCAGCATGTCGTCTACGTAGACCTCCATCGATCTGCCTATCTGTTCGGAGAACATCCGGTTAACCAGTCACTGGTAAGTTGCACCAGCGTTCTTGAGGCCGAAGGGCATAACTTTGTAGCAGTATAGTCCCCGATCTATAATAAATGATGTATGCTCTTCGTCTAGCCCATACATCGAAATTTGATTGTATCCCGAGTACGCATCCATAAAACTGAGCAGCTCATGCCCCGAGGTGGCGTCCACGAGCTGGTCAATTCTTGGCAGTGGGAAACTGTCCTTCGGACATGCCTTGTTGAGGTCGGTGAAGTCGACGCAGGTCCATCATTTGCTGTTGGGCTTCTTTACTAGAACTGGGTTAGTAACCCAGGCCGGGTAGAGTGCTTCTCGGATGGACCCATTTCGAAGGAGGTTATCTATCTCAAGCTTTAAGGCAACATATCGCTCCGGGTCTATCACTCTCCTCTTTTGTCGAACTGGCTTGGCTTCACTGTCGATGTTTAAGGCATGGCAAATAACATTCGGGCTGATCTCGACCATGTCTGCGTGCGACGATGCGAACACATCGATGTTCTCCTTGAGGAAGTTGGTAAGTTTGGTAGCGAGCTGGGCATTGAGATTTTTACCGATCCTTAGCACCCTGCTCAGTTCCATGTGGTCGACCGGTACTTCAGCCAAGTCCTCAACTGGCCCACTGGAAGGGCAGTCCTGAATACGAGGATTTATATTATCCTCGGTTGGGCCAAACTGTGGCTCTATCCGGCTGATCGCCATTGTCTGGTTTTGATCGCCGCGCGAAGTGCCTTTGCCTTTGCACGCCATTTGAACTGCTTTCATACAGCAGTCCCAGGCCGCGCGCTGAGACCCGCTAACTTCCCTGATCCCTGTCAGGGTGGGGAACTTCATTTTCAAATGGTATACTGAAGTGACAGTCATGAAAGTGTCTCAGCAGAGGTCGCCCCAGAATTCCATTAAAGGCAGATGGGAAATCTACTACCAAGAACTCGATTACTCTGGTCACTTCGTTGAAGTCACCCAACGTGACCGGGAGTGAGATCGTGCCCTTGGGGAACAAGTGGTCCCCTGTGAAGCCATATAGGGGGAACGAGGCAGGCTTCAGGTCTGCCTCATCCAAATTCATTCTCTCAAAAGTCGAAGCGAACAGGATGTTCACAGCACTCCCGTTGTCCACTAACATTCTCTAGACATTATGACACCCTATGAGGGGCGTTATCACAAGGGCGTCTTTTTAAGGATGATGCAGCTGGGCCGCATCTTTTTCAGAGAAGGAAATTTCCTCCTCCCGGCGAACCTTCTGTGGTCGCTGCGCCACGCTTATCGCTCTTATGGGCTCATGGTATGCCTCGCGAACGTACCTTTCTTGGGCACCTCGCGAGTTTCCCGCGAAATGCGGTCCCCCGAAAATTAAATTGAGTGTGCACACACCTTTCTGATCACAGCGCTTCTTACTTGACTCCCTCTGATTCTTCTCTTGCGAGGGAGCAGAGTCATCAATATACTCCTTGAAATGTCCCTGCTTGATTAGGTTTTCAATCTCTTGCTTGAGAGCTTGGCATTCATCGGTATGGTGCCCATTGTCCCGATGATAGCGACAATATTTTTTTATTATTTCTGGCTGTCGCTGGAGTTTTCATGGGCTCGGGCTCTCTGAGCAGGCTGGCCTCCTCGGATTTATCGAGAATAGCCGATACAGATGTGTTCAGTGGAGTATATTGGTTTCTGTCGTGATCGCGACGAGGGATGGGAGCGTAGGACTTTTTGGGCTCATAACGAGGCTTCTTCCCTCTTCGCTGATCGTCTACGTCCCCCTTGCAATTAGCTCTTCTATTATCTCACCGACCAGGTGCACTACCCGAAGTGCCGTGGTCGCGACGGCGGAGTGCCGCCATTGAATTTTCTATTCGAAGGTACTTCTCCGCAAGATTATAGAATCCGGTGGGGGAGACATCGTCCTCAGCTTGCAATTCTTTCCACAGGTCGGTCTATGGATGGACTCCGGCTATGATGAGAGTCCGAACAAACTC